CAGGGTCAGCCCTGGTTAGTACTTGGATGGGAGACCACCAAGGAAGTCCAGGGTCGCTACGCAGAGGCAGGCCATGACAAAACCACCTCTGTTTGTCTCTTCTCTGACCCGGATGGCCCAGGCTAGCCGGGTCTTGTCAGATCTCAGAAGCTAAGAAGGGTCGGCCCTGGTTAGTACTTGGATGGGAGACCTCCAAGGATGTCCAGGGTCGCCACGCAGAGGCAGGCGATGGGCAAACCGCCTCTGTTCAACTCTTGCCTTGACCTGGATGGCCCAGGCTAACCCAGTCTCGGAAGCTAAGTAGGGTCAGCCCTGGTTAGTTCTCAGATGGGAGACCACCGAAGTCGTCCAGGGTTGCTGTGCAGAGGCAGGCCACGGCAAACCACCTCTGCTCATCTCTTGCCTTGAGAACCCTACAGGGGTCACCATCGGTCAATTGCGACTTGACCATGTTCTCCTAATTGACGAAGGCAGTGCAGTTACCAGCACTCCTTACCCTTATTTATTGGTTGATGAAGGTTCGAGAGTGTCAGAATGGTCTCTACTGTTGAATGATTAGCTTGTAACTCAACTTGGTCCTCTTGTAGTTGCTTGTTGTTGCCTGTTCAATGCTTGTGATGTTTATTGTTGTAAATGATTATTTAAAAACAAATAAAAATATTTAAAAACACAAACAAAACAAATAAAATAAAAGTATGGTGGCATTTGTCCTACCCAGATGGGTCAATATGGGTGACTTATTTTTTGTTTTTTCTTTTTGTTTTTTTGGGTTTTTTTTGTCGTCTGCAAAACATAACCACTCTTTTGTGAAGTGTTAGAAAAATGCACCAACCTTTTGTAAGTCAGGGAAGGTAAATGATTCTCATAAGAACATAACATAAGAACATAAGAGATGCCAATGTTGGATCAGGCCAGAGGCCCACCCAGTCCAACACTCTGTGTCACACAGTGGCCAGAAATACCAGGTGCCATCAGGAGGTCCACCAGTGGGGCCAGGACATTAGAAGCCCTCCCACTGTTGACCCCCCCAAGCACCAAGCTCGTTCCTCCCTCTCTTTCCTGTTGGAAGAAAACAGAGTTCTGGGCCCGCCCAGGAAATGGTTCTGTCTCCAAAGAAGCAGCGGTTCCTGTATGGATCCTTTCGGGGGAGTGTTGAGGAGAGACCACTTCCCGTACTTGGGTTCAAGCCCATCTGCATTACGGAGCCTGCAGCAATATTTTATGCTTGGATTTTCATCCGTTCTCTGGACAGATATCATCAGGGTGGGGCGGGGGCGAGGGAGCGCTCGTGCTCCGGAGGAAGTGATATTCGATTGAAGCTTGCTGGGATGGGTGTGTGTGTGTGGACTTCTCTGTTGGGCTTGAATGCCAGGGGCCAGTGCAAACCGTAGAATCTTAGAATTGGAGGGGGCCATAGAGGCCGTCTAGTCAGTTTGGTGTAGTGGATAGGAACACGGACTCCAATCTGGGAGAACCGGGTTTGATTCCCCACTCCTCCACTTGCACCTGGCTGGATGACCTTGGGCAAGCCGTAGTTCTGATAAGCCAACATACAACAGATACCATGCACAGATGAATTATAACCTATCATAAATAATTTTATATATTTAGAAAAATATATAAGACAGAGCACATGTAAAGAGAATTTAAGGAGTCCTCCCTTTTGAAACTTTTTTACAGAGGAGGACTAGTATATATTATAAGGTTGTACTATATCTTTTGAGAATCTATGGAGATGATATTTGACATTTTGTTCTCTTATATTATGAATTGTGACTATGATGATTAATATGTATGAAGAAATTATTGTAATAATATTTTTCTAAATATATAAAATTATTTATGATAGGTTATAATTCATCTGTGCACGGTATCTGTTGTATGTTGGTTTTCCTACTTACTGTGGGTCCTTGTTTGGGTTTTGTGAACTGTAGTTCTGATAAGAGCTGTCCTTGAAAAAAAGCAGTTTCTGTCAGAGCTCTCTCAGCCCCACCTACCTCACAGGGTGTCTGTTGTGGGGAGGGGAAGGGGAAGGAGTTTGTAAGCTGCTCTGAGACACCTTTAGGTAGTGAAGGGCGGGGTATAAATCCAATCTCTTCTCTCTTCTCCTCCTTCTCCTCCTCCTCCAACCCCCTGCCCAGTGTAGGATCAGCCTAGAGCAGGGGTGTCAGAATCATTTGTTACAAGGGTCAGATGTGACATAAATGTCACTTTGTCTGGCCACGCGTGCTGTAAAACGTAATGCCGGGTACCGGAGATAGAAACTGTATAAAGGACAGTAGCTGGCAAGCTCCGAGTTGGTGCGTCCTCACTGCAAGGCCCCATGGGCTGGGGTGGGTGGTGCAAAGGAAAACCCACATGGGCAGACTGGAGGAGCCAGCGTCGCAGCACTGGGCAGACGCTCCCACGCAGCTTGGGTGCTGCAGACGAGGTTGTTCCACCATGCTGAAGCCACAGTCGGAGTGGCTCCGCCCACTTCTCCCCCAAACAGTCTCCTGTTCCCGCCCTTGCACTGGTTGCTCGCGGGCCCCATAAGAGCCCTGAAGGGGCCGGTTCTGGCCCCCAGGCCTCATGTTTGACACCCCTGGCCTAGAGCATCCCTGACCAGTGTTGGTCCAGCGGCTGCTTGAAGACTGCCAGGGAGGGGGAGCTCACCACCTCCCGAGGTGGCCCATTCCACTGCTGAACTGTTAAAAAAATAGAAAACAAACGAGCCAACCTTAATATCCAGCGGGTACTTTTTGACCTGGAATCTGAACACGTTATTGTTAGATAAGCTATGGGGGACGCACACTCTGTTCAACTGGGATGGATCCAGACTTCCTCCACGTAGCCTGTCTCTAACTTAAGTGGCTCTTCCTCCAAAGTAAAGAGCTCTTTTTTGGAGGAAGGCTTCAAATTGAAGCCAAAAAGAAAAGTGGGATAGTAAGTAAATGTACTGGTGTGGTGGGATGGGAGGTGTCGGTCGGATCCAGTCTACCAATATCTCCCCCGTCTTGCTGATCGGTGGTGAACTGAACAAGCAGAATTGTCTTAATCCTTGATCCCCTGGGAATTAGAATGCCATGTTTTGTTCAGAGAAAGTGTGGTCTTCGGAGGCATTTACTCCCAGCTCTGATTGTAACCTGATCTGATCCCTTTTTTTCCCTGTCACTGTAACAGAACTCTTTTGCTTGAAGTGCTGATGCTGGTATCCATTTTTTTTTTAAATGCTAAGAACATCAGAAGAGCCCGCTGGATCAGACCAGTGGTCCATCTAGTCCAGCCGCCTCTCTCACACCGTGACCAACCAGTTCCTCTGGAGGGCCAGCAACAGGGCAGAGAGGCCGAGGCCTTCATGAGAACATCAGAAGAGCCTCGCTGGATCAGACCAGTGGTCCATCAAGTCCAATATTCTGTCTCACACATTGGCCAACCAGTTCCTCTAGAGGGCCAACAACAGGGCACAGAGGCTGAAGCTGTCATAAGAAAACCAGTGTTCCCTCTAAGCTAAGTTGGAAGCAGGGGGCGGGGCTTGTTACAAATGCCCGCCCCCTGGGCTCTTTACTGCCGGAACGCCGCTCCCGTGCGCTCCTGCAGGAAATGAGCCCTGCCTAGAATAAAACTTTTGTTGGTCTTAAAGGTGCCCCTGGACTCTAAATTTGTTCTACCCCTTGCCTCAATCTAGATAGCCCAGGCTACCCTGATCTCATCCAGTCTCCGAAGCTAAGCAGGGTCGGTCCTGCTTAGAACTTGGATGAGAGAGCACCAAGGGAATCCAGGGTCGCTAAGCAGAGACAAGAAATTACAAACCACCTCGGAACATATCTTGCCACAGGTCAGCCGCGACTTGACCGCACTTTCTACCACCACGCCATGAAAAGCTTCCTTTCCACATATTAAGCTCCTGCTAAAGGGTGGGTGCTGCGGTGGCTCAAGTGGTTAAGACGCTGAACTGCAGGCTGTGGAAGGTCGGTAGTTCAGCAGTTCGAGACCCGGGTTGCCACATGACGGAGTGGGCTCCCGTCTCTCGTTCCAGCTCCTGCCAACCTAGCAGTTCGAAAGCAAGGAATTGCAAGTAGAGAAATAGGTACCACTTCGGTGGGAAGGTAACAGCGTTCCGTGCGCCTTGGTGTTTAGTCATGCCGGACACATGACCACGGAAACGTCTTCGGACAGCGCTGGCTCTTTGGCTTGGAAACGGAGATGAGCACCGCAACCCTAGAGTCGGACTCGACTGTCTTTCGAGCAAGGGAAACCTTTACCTTTTTAAAGGGTGGGACCTTTTCCTCTGGGCCTGTCGGCAACCCAAAGACCCGATAAAGCAGAGATTAAATATGCTTGTTGTTCCACACTGGAGTGTCCTATTGCATCATTTTGTAACATTTGCAGTTAACATTCGCAGTTGGCCTTAAGACTCACAGGCAAATGTCAGCCGCTTCTGACATTTCCCGCAAGCCTTCAAACATTTCCCAAATGAAAACACGAAATCCTAAACGCCCTCTTCTGTATAGGGCCACTTTTCACTACAAGAACATCAGAAGAGCACCGCTGGATCAGACCAGTGGTCCATCTAGTCCAGCATCCTGTCTCACACAGTGGCCAACCAGTTCCTCTAGATGGCCAACAACAGGGCAGAGAGGCTGAGGCCTTCATAAGAACATCAGAGGAGCCCTGCTGGATCAGACCAGTGGTCCATCTAGTCCAGCCTCCTGTCTCACACAGTGGCCAACCAGTTCCTCTAGATGGCCAACAACAGGGTGTGAGACCTTCCCCTGATGTTGCCTCCTGGCTCTGGGAGTTAGAGGTTGACTGCCTCTAAACATGGAGGGTTCTCTTCAGTCACCATGGCTAGTTGACATTATCGGACCGCTCCTCCACAAATCCGTCTGATCCCCTTTGAAAGCCGTCTATGCCCTCACTACCTCCTCTGGCAATGAAACCCACATTTTAATCAGTTGCTGTGTTTCTTAGGAATGCCTCACAACCTGTAATTTAAACTTCCCTTTATTCTGTCCCAGGCTCCTGGATTTGGCTTTGGCATTGCAATATCGGGAGGAAGAGATAACCCCCACTTCCAGAGCGGAGAAACGTCAATCGTCATATCCGATGTGCTCAAAGGAGGCCCGGCAGAAGGTCTGCTACAGTAAGTGTCGAGTTAAATGTTGATTTTTAGAGCGGAGAGCTGTGCTGGGATGTACCCAGTTGTATTGGTTTTTCCTTGGTGTCGTGGTTGAGAGCGGCGGACTCTAATCTGGGAGAACCAGGTTTGATTCCCCACTCCTCCACATGCAGCTGCTTGTGTTACCTTGGGTCAGTCACAGTTCTCTTAGAGCTGTTCTCTCAGGAGCAGTTCTCTCTGAGCTCTCTCAGCCCCGCCTACATCACAGGGTGTCTGTTGTGGGGAAGGAAAGGAGATTGTGAGCCGCTCTGAGTGAAGGGCGGGGTATAAATCCAACTCTTCTCCTCCTCCTCCTGTAAATACAAGAGTTCTCAGCAGCATATAATGGAACAGTTTCCGGGATACTCTGTTTGCAGAAGTCTCTTTTTGTTATCTGCCAGCTGCCTTTCACCCTTGTTCTTCACTGTCTGCATTGTTGGTAGAATCATAGAGTTGGAAGGAACCTACAGGGTTCCTTCCAACCCTCTGCAGGATGCAGGAATTCCACAAATATCTCACACAAACCCCCCAACACACACAGAGTGACCAGTGTTCCCTCTAAGCTGAATTAGTGTGAGCTAGCTCACAGTTTTTTAGCCTCCGGCTCACACATTTTTGTCTTCGCTCAGAAAGGATGGCTCCAGAGCAGTGTTCCCTCTAAGCTGAGTTAGTGTGAGCTAGACTCCACAGCTTAGAGGGAACACTGCTCCAGAGCAAACCAATTTATGTGGCAGCCAAATTGCTCGCTCACAACTTTAACACCAGTAGCTCACAAAGTAGAATTTTTGCTCACAGGACTCCACAGCTTAGAGGGAACATTGCCAGTGACCCCTGTTCCACACCCAGAAGATGACCAAAAAACTCCAGGATCCACCGGCCAAACCGGCCTGGACAAAAATGGCTTCCTGACCCCAGAGTGGCAATCGGCATTGCCCTGGGCCTGTAAGAAAGTATCACTTGAGAGTTGCCTGAGAGTACCGTACACTGGCATGAATTCTGGGTATAAGCTTTTGTGTTCATGTGCACTTCTTCAGACCAGAACCAAGTTAGAGTCCACTGGCACCTTTAAGACCAACAAAGTTTTATTCTGCGTGTAAGCTTTCGTATTCTTACAAAAACATCAAACCAAGTTGGAGTCCAGGGACACCTTTAAGATGAACCAAGTTTGAGTCCAGGGGCACCTTTTAAGACCAACAAAGTTTTATTCAAGGTGTGAGCTTTGGTGTGCGTGCACGCTTCTTCAGACAGAACCACGTTTGAGTCCAGGGGCACCTTTAAGACCAACAAAAGTTTAATTCTGGAAAACGTCATTCAGCTTTCCTTGTGAGAGATCTCCAGCTACTTCGAACAGACTAACAGTAATCTCGCGATATGAAAAGGGATGCTGGGTTTCTGCACGGATTCTTCTCTTCGTCTGCTGACTCACACTTTGCATCCTTCCCCCATTTCAGGGAGAATGACCGTGTCGCGATGGTCAATGGCGTCTCGATGGATAACGTGGAGCACGCGTTCGCTGTTCAACAGCTAAGGAAAAGCGGGAAGAATGCCAAAATCGTAAGTGAATGCTTTCTGCCCCAACACTTGTCCACAGCGGGGGGGTCAGTTCCTTCCAAAAAAGGGACTCATGCGCCAGATTTGCTTCGGACAAAGTGGAAATAAGCCTCGAGGGCCGATTCCTTGACCGTTTTATTGCAGGGCCGTTTTTCACAATCCTTCAAGTAGCTTTGCTTGAAAAGGATGCAGCAGCTATTAGTGTTCCCTCTAAGCTGAGCTAGTGTGAGCCAGCTCATAGTCTTTTAGCCTTCGGCTCACACATTTTTGTCTCAGCTCAGGAAGGATATGGCTCCAGAGCAAACTAATGTATGCAGCAGCCAAATCGCTCGCCCGCAACTTTAATGCTGGTAGCTCACAACCAAGGCTCCCTCTAGGCTGTGGAGTCCTGTGAGCAAAAATTCTACTTTGTGAGCTCCTGGCATTAAAGTTGTGAGCGAGCGATTTCGCTGCTGCATAAATCAGTTTGCTCTGGAGCCATCCTTCCTGAGCTCAGACAAAAATGTGTGAGCCGGAGGCTAAAAAAACTGTGAGCTAGCTCACACTAACTCAGCTTAGAGGGAACACTGTTCACAAAGTAAAAGTTTTGCTCACAAGATTCCACAGCTTAGAGGGATCGTTGGCCAGCTATATGTGCAGGGACTGCTCTGAACTCTCTTTAAGAGTGTGGAGATCCTGAAGCAACTGGAATGACTGGGATCTCCGGGGCAGGAAGACTTCTTGACCTTTGTCCCAAATGATGTCCTTGCATGTTCCCTTGGGCCTGTTTCCTGCAAAAGGGCAGAATGGCCGCCATTCATTCTTCGTGGGGTGCAGTAAAGCGATCCACTTGGGGACAGCCTTTTAGTCCAAATAAGAACGTGCCCACTTCCTTGATGCTGGGTGACAGTACTAAGCATCCTCTAAAGGTAAAGGTCTCCCTTGCTCGAAAGCCAGTCGAATCCGACTCTAGGGAGGCGATGCTCATCTCCGTTTCCAAGCTGAAGAGCCAGCGCTGCCCGGAGACATTTTCCGTGGTCATGTGGCCGGTATGACTAGACGCCGAGGCGCACGGAACGCTGTTACCTTCCCGCCGAAGCGGTCCCTATTTATCTACTTGCCATTTCTTGCTTTCGAATGGCTAGGTTGGCAGGAGCTGAGGCCAGAGACAGGCGCTCCCTCCGTCACACGGCACTCAGGTCTCGAACTGCTGAGCTACCGACCTTCAATAAGAACATAAGAGAAGCCAATGTTGGATCAGGCCAGTGGCCCCTCCTGTCCAACACTCTGTATCACACAGTGGCCAGAAATACCAGTGCCATCAGGAGGTCCAGCGGTGGGGCCAGGACATTAGAAGCTCTCCCACTGTTGCCCCCCCCCAAGCCCTCCCACTGTTGCCCTCCCCTTGCCCCAGAGTCCCTATCTATACCTTGTGGCTAATGGCCACTGATGGACCTCTGCTCCATATGCTTATCTAATTCCCTTCCGATCCGCAGCTCAGCGTCTTAACCTCTAAGCTGTAGCTTCTTGGCCAAGAAATGCGGAGTATTTTGGGTGTTGTTTCAGGTCCCGGTGGCTCGGGAAGCTGGCTAGGTCTAAGGAAGTGGGACTGGCTCGTTCTTTTTTATATAGAGATATATATAATATGTGTGTGTGCACCTGGAAGTCATGGCGACCTCTGGGGGATATTGAGAGAGGTTGCTAAATGAAGCCTGCCCCCGCCTCCCGACTGCTGGTATTCCAAGGAGGTCTCCCATCCAAGTCCTTGCCAGCGTCGGCCCTGCTTAGCTTCCAAGATCTGATGAGATCGGGCTTCCCTGGGCTATCTAGGTCAGGGCACCCTTGCTCTCCTGGTTCAAAGCTGGTTCAGGAATTGAAACAAGGAAAAACGTGATTTCCATCCCTTTAAGCAGGAGGCCTCAAGAACCCCTAGGAATACTCACCCTTGTGGGGTACGCAACCATCAGGAAAAAGGCGCAGACTCCAAAGTGTTACCGATACGCAGGGCTTTTTTGTGATTTTTGTGTGTGTGGAAAAATAGGTGCTGGAATTCTCAAGAGGGAAAAGAAGAATACGGAAAACCAGTGTTCCCTCTAAGCTGAGTTAGCGTGAGCTAGCTCACAGGTTTTTTTTAGCCTCCGGCTCACACACTCTTGTCCTAGCTCAGGAAGGAGGGCTCCGGAGCAAACTGATTTATGCAGTCGCCAAATTGCTTGCTTGCCATTTTAAATAATTAATTTATTTATTCAATTTATACCCCACCCTCCCCACTAAGGCAGACTCAGGGCGGCTTACATAAAACTCGTACACTTAAAACAGTCACAGATAACATCGTCATAAAATAAGATGACACATCATTTAACGCCAGTGGCTCACAAAGTAGAATTTTTGCTCACAAGACTCCGCAGCTTAGAGGGAGCACTGCTGAAAGCCCACCCACTTTTAAGCAGTTTTAAAAGGATTTTGTCAAAGAGGTTCTGTTCCGGCGCGTCCCCCCAGAAAAACAGCCCTGCCTGATACGAATTAAGCGGTTTCCTGGAAAGCGTGGCCACACAACTCGCTTCAGATGCACGATGCAGGGAATACACACATTAAAAAGGCATGGCTCCAAAACCGTCAAGAGAGATGCAGGTAGCGACAGAAAATAATGTCGACAGGTAAACCGACCAGTGCTCAAGCACTAGCGGATAAAACAGAATTCCAGATCAGTAGAAAGATTCTGTATTCTTACAGCACAGTTCTCAGCCCCTCCGTTTGTTCAGATGGTTTTTCGTGCAGTCGTGCCTCAACAGGTAGCTTTCCCCCCCTTCATGCTCAGCAGATGCAATTTGCCACCCGTGCAGTGAAATTATAGAGCGTCCTGTTATGCTTCCAGACCTACCAGGTGCGTAAATAAGCCAGCTCCCCCCCCAAATCTGCAGACCATCTCATCATCCGCCACAGAGCGCAACCTGCCTCTTGGTAAACAGTTGAGTCTGCCGGGCGTGAAAAACTGAACCTCCACTGAAAACAATTCTGGGATCAGTTATTCCCTGGCCAGTCTTTCAGTGAATTCTCCCGATTTTTCCTCCGAGCTGTTTAGGAATAAAGATTTTGCTCCAGCCTTGCAGCTTGTTCTGGGGGAACGGAAAGCTAAAAGACAAGGGTTTTTTTTTTTGTGTGTGTGTGTGTGTGTGTTAAGGTTGCCAACTCCGGGTTGGGAAATTCCTGGAGATTTGGGGCCTGGAGATGGCAGCACTTGGGGAGGGGCCTCAGCAGAGAGATCTAATGCCCGAGAGTCAACCCTCCAAAGCAGCCATTTTCTCTTGGGCGGGAACAGATTGTTGTAGCCTGGAGATCAGCTGTGATTGCAGGAGATCTCCAGGCCAGTTTGGTGTCGTGGTTAAGAGCGCGGACTCTAATCTGGGAGAACCGGGTTTGATTCCCTACTCCTCCACTTGCACCCGCTGGATGACCTTGGGCAAGCCCTAGTTCTGTCAGAGCTGTCCTTGAAAGAGCAGTTTCTGTCAGAGCTCTCTCAGCCCCACCCACCTCACAGGGTGTCTGTTGTGGGGAGGGGAAGGGAAAGGAGTTTGTAAGCCGCTCTGAGACGCCGAGTGAAGGGCGGGGTATAAATCCAATCTCCTCTTCTTCCTCCTCCTCCTCCTCTTCTTCTTCTCCTCTCTTCCTCCTTCTCCTTCTTCTTCTCCTTTTCCTGCTCCTCCTCTTCTCCTTCTTTTACTGGAGCTCTCCAGGCCCCACCTGGCAACTTTAGCGTGAGTGCTCTTATCAGGGAAAAGTTGACCACCAGAAGGAATGACTATAGCTGAGCTTGTAAACCTGTATCTGGGAGAGGGCTGGTGTGGTGTAGTGGTTAAGAGTTTTGGACTAGTTTCTGGGGGACCCGAGCTGGAATTTCCACTCATGCCGCGGAAGCTCGCTGGGTGACCTTGGGCCAGTCACACGCTCACAGCCTAACCTACCTCACAGGGTTGTTGCAAAGATAAAATGGGGGTGAGGAGAACGGCGTAAGCCGCTTTGGGTCCCCGTTTGGGGAGCAAATGAAGTAAATAAATTAATAATAAAGTGTACTACTTCAGACCAAGACGCCCAAGCGAACAAATACTTCTCTATTGTTGTTGTTTGTCTGTTTTAAAAAACCACATGGAAACATTGGCTGCCAGGGAGAAACGTTCCGGCCTTGTCTTCTCCCCTGAGTGTTGTGGGGTTTTTTTAATGTTTGGGGTTTTGTTTATCGATGCAGTCCTGTGAGGCCCCCCACACACACACACAGTTCAAGTGGTACGGTCCAGACACGGTAAAAAAAACAACAACCCCAAGGTATTGTTCAGCTGGGAACATAATTTAGTTAGTACCAGGGACCGCCAGCTGGAAAACGGGAAACAACGCCGATTTGAGGGAGTGTGTGTTTATAAAGAGGATGCTGTGTTCTGCCTGCAGGGTTTCCTTCTTACAAGGAAGTGTGAAGGGGGAGGTATTCCGTTTGGATCCACCTAATGTAGAAGCCATTTCTGGTTGGGCACCATGTGACTGCTAGGCCTTTGCTTGCACAGCCCAGATCATGACACTAGTCTAGGCCAATAATTATTGCTCACTAACTGAGATGTTGGGTATTGCAAAATTTGTCTCAGTCCTTTTAGCCCTTGCATCTAAAAAATAAGAAATAAGTGTTTTCTGCTGCTCAAGATTCATGAATCAATGAGCTTCTGAGGTTATAAAAGGAAAGGAAAAGAAAGGAAAGATGTTGGGTATGTGTTCCAGAAAACATTTCTTCTGAACGTCTGTGTTCAGACTAGAACTATGAGAAGGGGAGAAATGTTTACTATTTGAAAATGTATGGTGTCAAACAGAATGCCATAATTAGGATGTCTATTAGTAATTTTCTACTATTTAAAAATATATGCAGAACCTTTCTCTGTGACTGGCTAAAATTGGGGCCAAAACCTCTCAGGGGCTTCTGGGAGTTGTAGGCCTGGCCTCCTCCCACTGCTAGTCAGGCTCCCTGGGCCTGCTAGGCCTTTGCTTGCACAGCCCAGATCATGACGCACCACCTCCCTTGGAAGATGTTTTGGGGGTGGCGCTCAGCATTACCCCTCAGAATGCCAAGTGTGCCCGCAGAGTCAAAAAAGTTAGGGGCACTACTCCCTTTAAGCTGTGGAGTCTTGTGAGCAAAAATTCTACTTTGTGAGCGACCGGCATTAAAGTTGTGAGCGAGCGACTTAGCTACCGAATCAATTAGTTTGATCTGGAGCCATCCTTCCTGAGCTGAGACAAAAATGTGTGATCCGGAGGCTAAAAAAGCTGTGAGCTAGCTCACACAAACTCAGCTTAGAGGGAACACTGGTGGGGGGGGTCAACTGGTTTGTGGAGAAATCCATTCTTTTTCAGGATATCACCATACTAAGATTTCAGTGCAGAATGTCAGCCGTATTACTCAGGATCTAAGAAACCGTAGTGCCGAATTTATAATGCAGCATCCCCCGAATGCTTGGAACAGGCTAGTCTTTGACCTTTCGGAGGCTAGTAAAACATCTTTCCCCTCTAGGCTTTTTTTTTAATGTACTGAGTAGTTTTATCACTCTCTGTCTTTCTCTGCTATTGCTTTGGCCTTTGTTCGTATTTTTTGGTTTCAATTATCGGATGTTTTTCACGGCTTCCCTGCTACCTTGAGTGCACCTTGGCGCAGAAGGAAGAAGGAAAAACGGAATAAATCCTTTTCCTTTCCTGGAGATAACATCGAGTGCAAAAAGATTTTGTGGCAAACCGTTGCTGGAGACGTGGGGTTCTGGGGTTTGCTATCATGATTAGAGATGTAAAATTTCCAGAAATTTTGAAGCTCGGGGAAAAACCCAGTTTTTCCCGTTGTTTTTTTCCAGAAAAAAACAGATTTTGGGGGGGGAAATTGAAAAAAATGCTACATTAGCGCTTCTTTTTTCTTTTCCAGATTGAAAGTCATTCCGTTACTTGAGGAACATAAAATATGACTATGGATAATTTTACTTGGCATGAAATTATCACAACTAGCATTTAAAAAATATAGTGTATCCAAACTATTATTGTGGGTGGGTGGGTGGGAGTAAAGAACCAGACTAGTAGTGACTAAATTATTATTTACACAAAGGTTATAAAGATAAACTAATGTAGCTAAATGATTAGGTTTTCTGGAATCAGATAAATTAAAACTCTTACATTTTTAAATTAAGTATATGCTAACAATTTTTAAAAATCAAGAAGTAGCAATTATTCGAACACCTTGTCTTAAAATATGTTATTCATCATGTTAAAACTAAAGTGATCCATAATCAATTTTTTTTCCTTTTTTCAATTTTTCCAATTTTTCGGAAAAAAACAAAAAAAGGCTTCAGGAAAAAAACTGAGGTTTCCCCAGAATTTTTCTGGTTTTTTTCCGAGCCTTCACATCTGTAATGACAGAAGAGAAGTGGCAGAGAGCACGTTTACAAGAGTGATAGCGCTGAATCCTCTGTGTGCGTGCGTGTCTAAAATGCTGTCGAGTCTCAACCGACTTCGTGCAAACCCCACAGGGTTTTCAAGGCAAGAGACGAGCAGAGGTGGTTTTGCCATCTCCTTCCTCTGCGTAGCAACCCTGGACTTCCTCGGTGGTCTCCCATCCAAATCCTAAAAAGGGCCAATCCTGCTTAGCTTCTGAGATCTGACAAGATTGGGTTAGCCTAGGCCACCAAGGTCAGGTCAGATGAACAGAGGTGGTTTGCCATTACCTGTAAGCAATGCTCCCTCTAAGCTGTGGAGTCCTGTGAGCAGAAATTCTACTTTGTGAGCTACCAGCATTAAAGCTGTGAGCGAGCGATTTGGCCGCTGCATCAATTAGTTTGCTTTGGAGCCCTCCTTCCTGAGCTAAGACAAAAATGTGTGAGCCAGAGGCTAAAAAACTGTGCGCTAGCTCACACTAACTCAGCTTAGCGGGAACACTACTCCCCACAACAGACACCTTGTGCGACAGGTGGGGCTGAGAGAGCTCTGAGAGAACTGACCAATGCTCCCTCTAAGCTGTGGAGCCTTGTGAGCAGAAATTCTACTTTGCGAGCTACCAGCATTAAAGCTGTGAGCGAGTAATTTGGCTGCTACATAAATTAGTTCTCTCTGGAGCCCTCCTTCCTGCGCTAAGGCAGAAATGTGCAAGCCGGAGGCTAGAAAAACTGTGAGCTAGCTCACACCAACTCAGCTTGGAGGGAACCTAGCCAACGTACGGCAACTCCGTAGGGTCTCCGAGGCAAGAGACGAACAAGCGTTCTGATAACAATACAATGTGTTCCAGACCATCAGAAGAATGAAGAAGGTTCAGCTCCCAGTAACGCGGACAGAACCGGATCCCGTGTCGGAAAACGACGAGGACAGCTACGAAGAGGACATTCCGGACCCGAGGAGTTCCCGCGGTGCTACGAGTGCGAGCAGAAGGCACGAGAAGAACTGGGTGAGGGACCGGAGCGCCAGCAGAGAGAGGAGTCTGTCGCCGAGATCGGACCGCAGATCGGTGGCTTCCAGTCAGCCTGCAAAGCCGACTAAAGTCACGTTGGTGAAGTCGAGGAAGAACGAAGGTATGTGCTGAAATCTTACTAAACTTCTGTAGAAGACAGGGTAGCAATCTTTTTTTTAAAAAAACCAATGTTGTTTTTAGTGAAACGGTTAATTATTGTAGTCTGCTGTGTCGATCTCCTTGTGTAACCACGTTCGGCATCCGCGCATAAGGCTGGTTTTCAGGTCGTCTTGGGGAAGTGTGTGATTGGGGCTGTACTTGAAAACAGCACAGGGCTTCCCCTGAAACCTCTCTTAGAACCGGTACCTCCCTCATTCAAGCAGGAAAGAACGCAGACTCTTCCGAGCCATTTTTTTTACCCCGGGATCAGTGCTCCCTCTAAGCTGTGGAGTCTTGTGAGGAAAAATTCTCCTTTGTGAGCTACCGGCATTAGAGTTGTGAGCGAGCAATTTGGCTACTGCCTAAATCAGTTCGCTCTGGCGCCATCCTTCCTGAGCTAAGACAAAAATCTGTGAGCCAGAGGCTAAAAAACTGTGAGCTAGCTCACACTAACTCACCTTAGAGGGGACACTGTCCGTGACTGTTCATGTTGGGGGGGACTGGGAACGGGACTTCAGTTTTTGCTCTTTAAAAACATATCCTGCACAAACTCTCAGCGCTTGGCGACTTGCCAAATTATATGTAGTTAAATACACGGTTAAAATTGCAGTTTAATACACGGTTAAAATTGCAGTTTAATAAACAACGCAAACCGATTAAGGTCCCGTGAAATAATTTACAGCTTGCTGCAGTGACAAGCAGCAATTATGGAGGCAATCATTCACCCCCGCCCTCCCCCCCGTTAACCCTTCA